TTGTTGTATATTATGCTTCTGTATATTGCTTGTTTTTCCGCAAAAATCAGATAGAACTTTAGAAAAACACTGTAAAAGATTTAGAAAAGCTTGACATTTAAGTATATCATAATTAGGGTTGAATAAGTTAATGTTTTTTTTAACTGAATAAAGTTAAAGTTAATGGCTTTACAAAATTAATAAAGTTAAATTGAAAGAATAAAAGTTGAAAGAATAAAAAATTAACTTAACGTAAGTTAATTCAATATTGAATTAAGTTAAAAAAAAAGTTTTGAAAAAAATTATTTTTTAGATCAAAATGTCTTAATTTTTTTTTAAATGAGATTAAATACACAATTTACAATTTAAATTATTAAGTAAATTAAATTTTTAATTTTTTTATTCATATGTGATATATAACACATAACGATATAACTATATAAGTTAATAAAACTTTAAAAAAAGCTCACACAAAAGTCAGCACAGAGAAAATATAAAATCAATGATTACTTTTTAATAAATCTTAATCATGAGAAATTGATCAATTATAATCGAATGCGAGAAGAATGTTTGACTGTTTAATTAGTCAATTTCTTATGACTTAAGGCTTAAAACTATTGTAGATTCGAATTATGGCATAAGGCTTAACTGCATAAACCAATCAGAGGGCTATATTAGCATGTTAAGAACTTAAGATGGTCTTAAAATATGAACAAATACGAATATACGCCCTTAATCTTATTATATCTTATTATTTTTCTAAGATATTTAAAAGAGGTAAAAAAATTTTTTAATTTAAAAAGAAAGTTAAAAAGTTAACGTTTAAAAGTAACTTAGTTAAGTTAAAAGTTATTAACTTTTCAACTTTTTTTTTAATTTTTAACATTTAATTAGTTATTACCCAATCCTGATCACAATATAATGGATATGATACAAAATAAAAATATTACTGATTCGTTTAGAAATATATTATTTTGAAATATTATAAAGACTCCAAAAAAAACTGCACTCTTTTATGAGTCATGTGCGTGAATATGATATTTTTCTCATGGGGATGAGTAATACACATATATGAAAGGGAGGAACGATACTAACATGCCGAAACGAACAGCGAATACTTGGCACCCCTATGACTCCTCCGCTTCTCATCTCCTTTTTCCATATTATTTTCACTTTCCCTCAAACCCTCGAATCTTTCTGTCTTTTCGGAAATATTGATTTTTTTGTATAATTTCTCTTTTATTATACTTTTAGAAAACTTTTTTTCTTTATAATGAGTTTAAAATAATTATCAGCATGGGATAATATTAATGACATATTCTCTTCTAAGTATATGTTAAACGCATCGAAAGTGCAATATACATATGTAACATAGTTTGATTTATACAGTTGCTAAATGTGATCTCTATTAAGCGTGTACTTTGTATATGGACTTCAGAGTATGATAAATCACGAGGGTGTAGCATCGGGTGCGCTCCCATGGGACATAATAATATAATCGCGTCCCAAAGTACCAAGTTTGACACTGCCAATGTCGGACGAGCTTCAGAAATAATTAACAGCCTAGTTTCATGTCTCTTAGTTTGACTGGCATCATCGATCGTCGAGAAACATAACATCTCTTCATCTACAGATTAAATTTTCTAATGCAATAAATAATTTAATTAATTCTTCCTGCAGACAAAGATGCGAGAAAGTAATGCGTTTTTAAAATTACTGTAATTGCAGAATTTTGTGAAATTTGTACATAAAAAAGATAATTTACTCTAAGACATTTTTTAATTATTTTCTCAAAGTTAATTATTAGAATTTTCTAAATTAATGAAGATGTAATCATGACAATATATGTAACATAATTTATTTTATTACAGATTTCCAAGTAAGTGTATCTACGATAATATTTCACTTAAAAGTTACCAAGATGTGGAGTCTCTTGAATATTTTAAATATATACACATAAGTAATTAGGAACTCATTACGCCTCATCTTCGTAAAGTACAAATAGTTCTTCTCGAAGACCACGTTCTCAGAGATTGCTTTATAACAAAGAGGTAACAACCACCCTCATAGGCGTGACAACTCACGTGTCTGCCCACGCAGTAACTCGTGCATACACGTGAAACCGAGCACGTGAACAAGGGAGTAGGCTTTGATTCGGACTTTCGAGCGATTCTGCGAGAACTTTACGAAGAGGACAACGAGGGTTGGTGGTATTCTCTGCGTGTAGAAGACCTCGGGGAAATCCTAATATTTTAACCAGCGTGGCGGCGAGGTATGAAAGGACCCGCGCAAGCAGAACACTGAAAGGGAAATGGGGTGTTGTACCGAGTCATCCCTCGTCTACCCTCGTAGACGAGCGTCTACATTCGTATATATTCGTATGCGGTACCCCTGGAGGGAAGTACTTGCAATTAACGCGGTAAGACTTGACTATTGCAAAGGGTAAGCCGTTCCTTCACCCTCCTTGGGTTCTTTCGGTTCCGATTCTCATTTAAAGTGAGCTTGGAGGAGACGAGCCGGAATTTGTGTTCAGTTATTTGTCAATGATACGTATAATTTTTGCGCTTGTAATGTACGTATATAATTATACTATGACATAATGCTATTTGTTATATTAAAAAATATTTTACATGTAAAACATCTTTGCTTATAAATGATCTTTATCTTTGCAACGAGCATATTCTCGATACGTTCATTCGAGAGTGGATTTCTTTCCCCATACCGGAAATTGACTGTCCATTGTGCTACTAAGTGCATATCCGTGTGAAATCTCAGCAGTACAGTCATCTCGAATTTTCGGATATATTCTCATGTAAAACGATCAGTCGCCGTGACGAATACATTTTGTTGGTGCATTTCTTACAATTGTATTTATAAAATATATAGTGTCGTCGTACATAAAATCAGTAAGTAAAATTCATAATTTTTTTATCCCAATAACAAGAATGATAAGTTACTTAATATTAGTATTATAGTAAAATATATAAAAATATATGTATGTAAAAATAATTTTTATAACCATAATATATTACAAAATATGATAGTAAAATATGATAGTAAAATTATTTATACACGATTTCAAATTTCGACACGTTTGACACGTAGAAGAAATAAAATATTTCGATATCAGCTATACCGATATTTTTCAAACTTATTATATTTGACTCAAATAAATAAAATGTGCAGAAAAAGCAGTGTTCTTAGTGTTGATAACACGATGAACGTAACGATTATAGGAGCACGTACGTGCAAAGTTATTGAATGTTTCCGCAGAGCAATTTTGTTCGATTATATCTCGGTCGATATATCTCGCATTTCCCCAATCTTTCTCTTCTTTCTTCCATTTGATTACTTGTTCCGGTAGAAAAGTGGTAATAACGATATCATATTCCCGGCTATTTGATAGACTATTCACAAGAATATTCCGTCGATAAAAGTTACCTCACCGCTTTATTCTACGGTCAGACTCATTCTTCTTATCATGTCATTTAATGAATTTGTATCTATAGAAATCAATGAAACCTCGTGTATATTTATATTCTATCATTTTTGTATCATCTCTTTTTATTGAATCATACTTTGCAATTCATAAAATAAAGGAATATTATAAATTAGTAATTTTTCTCGGAAAAAGAGAATATACTTACCAACAATAGTATGTCCAAGTCTAATCATAATTTGATAGCTATCTCTCCAGCACTCTACTTTCTTCGCGTCACATGGCAAAAAATCGCTGAAAAGAAGAAAAAAGAAGAAGGATTCAGCTACTTCTGCTGACATAACGCTCATTCTTGGAACCACTTGCAATTCTTCAGCGTGAAGGAGACGCCTCTCGGGCACCGCAAAACTGTCATCGAGTGAATAGAAAGCTCGAATAGAGCTCTACGATCGTTTCTTCTTCAATCTGAATCCTTTCACTTTTTAACCCAGTTTCCATTGTTAGACTACTAGCCTGTGTTCCTGTCACGCTTGCTGATTACTGAACTGTCTGCATAATTAGTACTTATCATTTTTTTTATTTCTTAAAATCATTATCTTATGTCTTATCTTGTCTACAATTAGATATACATATAATAAATAATAAATTAGTTCATATATTCTATTTTTAATAAATTATATTAAAACATGTGACATATTTATGTATTTAAAGCGAAGAAATTTGTATTTATGTGTCTTTTTTTGTATACACTTGTACGTCTATTTGTGTGTATTCACGGAAAAATTCTTGAAATGACGCAGGTATATAAAGAATGATTAATACAAATCCTTGACGCTCCTTGGTCATCGTTTACAAGCACTTTGTTTCTTTCTTAGTTTACCTTCAAGCGGAATAAATTGTGGGCGTAATTTCGTCTCGAAATAGTTCGTTTTCATGAGAAAATAGCATAAATGTATATTGTATTTATGAAATGACGCGATTTCGTAAATAATTATACGTCCAAATGTTGTTACAAAATGTTATAAATATTTTTCTGTGCAAATGCATAATAATTTAACGCGTATTAAAATTAAATGTATATTGAAAATGTCATTTTCAATTATTTGGAGTACAATAAAAAGTAGAAAATAGAGAATAAGATCTTGCGAAATGAATCTTAAAAAAAAATAGTAAACATTTTTTTTAATACAAATAGAAGTGTCTTTCAATACGCAACGCGTTCGCAGAAAGAGATAAATAAATTAACATTTAAAATGTAGATCAACGTGATGCAGTAGCATAAATAAATTACAAAAATCGAACTTTCACGCGTTCTCTCATGCGAGAGAGGAGAGCGAAAGGTATATGACGATGGAGATCTATAACTCTGGTCATTGTTCTTTCTCTCTTTCCTTTCTTCGATTTAATAATAAGTTTCTTATTTTATCTCTTCCTCGTTATTATCTCTAAAATCTGCGCCCGTCTCCTTTGCGCTACGTGGATTTACTATAATCGTAGAATCTCTTTTGGATTACGTCAATTCTTTTAGTTTCCCCACTCACGGCAAGTGTTTTCATTTGCTTTGGTCCATGGTAAACGAGCGCCGAGCGATAGTAGTGCCGCATCAGATATTGCTGCGCAAGGTATTTCTCGCGACCGAATCTGCGCGTATTTATTATTTTTAAAGGATTTTCTTCTATCAACTACTTGACAGCTGCCGACCGCAGCGAGACAGGCATGAGGACTTTTTGGACCATCGTTCTTTGCGTCATCACCGTGATCGCTGCGGTGCACGCCAAGCCAACGATTTACAAAAAGAATCAAGATAATGTATTCGAACCAGGTAAGCGAAAAATCTGCGATTCATTCAAGAGCATCGCAGATTTAAATCGGTAAAAAAAACGCATTCGAATATTTTGCAAACAAATTTAAATATTCTTCTGTCTGCTTATTCTCGCTTTTCACTTGGAAGAGGAAAAGAGAGATTGCGTGTGTATCTTTGAATATTTCTTAATTACGAAATTTAAATTCTTCTTAGCGCACGAAGAATAATTTATTTCTGGTGAAAATAAAAATCGGAACGTAAATCAGATGCATTGAGAGAGTAACAGAAACGTAAACGAAACTTCTAGAAGCCCAGCAAATGAGAATGGATTGAAATGAATTGAAATGGATTCAGATTTTCAAAAATATTGATTCACGAATGTTAAAATGAATGTTTTTCAATCCTGAATGCATTTTTATTCATTTATAGAAATTGCAAGGAACATATCTCTACTGCCTTTCAATCTAAAAATAATATTAGCTTTTTCTGTGTACAATAACACAATTGTGAATACTGTTCAATTCAAAATTTTGAATAGGAAATGTAGTTTTTCAATCCAATTGCATCCAATTGAATCCAATTGAATCTAATTAAATCCAAAAAAAGTATTCGCTATTTAAAATACGCATTTGGATAGAAAAAAATTTCAATCCATTTTAATCCATCTCAGTAACAGAAGCGTAAACGAAACTTCTAGGAGGCGAAAATTGGAACAATGAAATGTAAAAGAAGCATAAATGCTTCTTTTACATTTTAATGTTTCAATTTTCGTCTCCTAGAAGTTTTGTTTACGCTTCTGTTACTCTCCCATTATATTCGACTTATGCTCTGATTTTTATTTTTATCAGGGGTGTCGCCGGCACGTGTGCAAATTGCATGTTTTCCAATACATCCATCTACAGATATGCATCATTGCATAGCAATTTCCCTCTTAAAACAATAATAAAAAAAATGGATCCTTTATTTTACACTAAAAATTGCGTGGACGAAATTGTGCTACGGGATGAGTTTTCCAATTTTGCCAAAGGATCGACCCTTTCAATTTGCGATTTTTACAACGTGTGAAACATACGTTGTCATTCCAGAAAGTCAAATGAATAAATTTTATCCTGCACACCGACACAACGAAATGTCAATATGATACATATAACGTCTTAACAATGTTCGAAAAAATGTATTTCAATTTGAAAGCATAGTTTCCTTTTTTCAGACAAGAGAGACGCAGAAGAAACTTTCACTTTGATAATTAGAATCTAAGAATCTAATTAACCACGCTAATTAACACGAAGATTGCATGTCCTTATTTCTTTTATGCTGCGCTTGTTTCTTCTACACACATCGACCTTTTCGTGCATAAGTTGATGATAAATGTATGTTAACAAAAAGGCAAGATCCGAGGCGAAATGTTACTGGCCATATAAAGAGCGATCTCTCTCGAGAATTCTGAATTCGCGCGAACCGATATTCGACAGGTGAATGGAAACGGAACGGTGATGTCAGCCAGGTAATGCGTAGGTTTCCGATGATCAAATTCACTATATACGCATATCGCGTTAATAACATGCATTTCTAGCTGTATTTTTCGAAGTTTTTTTACATGTATCGCTATATGTATTACGCATGGTAGGAGCATAGAGAGTGATATATCTTTTCTAATCTTTCTCGCTGCCGGCGCGGTTGGAAAGGCGAATCGCTAAATAAAGTAAGACGCCCACGCGTAAAAGGTGTTAATAGAAGTTACATATATGTCGTCCTTGAATTGTCGTTACAACGAGAGAGAGAGAGGATCGACGGGAAGAGGAGTAGAGACGATGCGTTTCTCAGCAACCAAGTGCAATCGTCGCTCGAATGAACAATTCGAAAGGATTTCTCTGTGGTAGAATACTGTAGGTGTATACACTTGAATTCATTCTAGTGTGAACAGATGCCGCTATTATAATGTACATTATAGTGTACGTAAACGAGATTTGTGTCTTGTAGATTAGATGCGAATGTGTTTCACCGAAGATTATACATATTATATGAAACGTATGATTATATATTACATTAGTTCGCTTGCACGTACCGCTGCTGTAATTAAAATCAATATAGATATTCAATTCATATATATAAATATATGATATAGAGCGATATAGAGAGCTCTATCATTGTCATGCGATTTCTGTATACGCGACATTTACTACCGTCTTGACGTTTCCGTCGTTTAATTTTCGGTGTTTCAACTTTCTATTTTTTTCTTGTATGCGGAATGAATGATTAACTTTCACTTTACTTTTGCACATATATATATATATATATTTGGTTTATGTATATCTTGTACCAATTATTGGTAATCAATATAAAATAATTGTACAAGTTACGTTATCGAGTATCGATGTATATAGTGACCTACTAAATCAGCCGACTATATGTATACACTATAAATATTTAATGATTGACAATTTAATATTTTTCTTTCAGTAATGGTACCTGTTTCATCCACGGTAATTCCATTACCCGTGTACAAAGTGGGCTATGGCTTAGGTTTCGTATCGAAAGATAAGAAGACCCAATTATCGTCATTCAAACCAGAAGGTGGCATAAAATTGATTACAAGTATGTACAAAAAGTATAGCTTAAATAAAATTAAGAGATCTTGTTTTTCCTCTTTTCATAACTTTCTCTTTTCCTTATCTATATCAATGAATCACGACACGAATGCAGATATATGTATGAGCTGAATTGTAAAATATATGTATACATATTTTTTACTCGTAAATTATTACACGTGAATAACGCACACAGTTGCACGAAAATAATTTTTTTATTTAATTCATGTAAGCGATTTTTTACATTATCGTAGTAATTATTAATTTATTTATTCTTTTTCTAGTCAGCAAAGTACAAGAAAAGAAGATCTAATGTAAATATTCTAAATTATCTCAAATAATATTGAATCACATCTTCAGAGAACTTCACGTTGGAAACTTATGCGTTTTGTTATTAATCATACTTTCTTATGCACCTGTTGTTGTTAAGTTATCTAATTAAGCTCTATACACCAAAAAATGGACCTCCATGTTAATCTTTAATTATTTTATCATCGAAAATATGTATTATCTCTAAGATATTAAATCAAAACTAGGCAATTACACATTGTATGTACGAAGTTGTTTACACATCTATCTTACCGATTATGACCTAAGATGTTTTAAAGATGTTTTATTTAAGAGATAGAGGATAATGCGAAACATTTATTTTGTTATAAATATGTTAATATATAATTAACTGAAAATAATATTTGTGATAATCATCATTATGGAAGAATACATATATATCGATTATTGCTGTATTAAAAAAATTTTATTCTATTTTTTGTAGTTTTATAACTTAATAAAAAAATTTGTTGTAATGATGTTCTTACAATGTATTATGAAGAAACATCCATGTTATCTTCAGCTGAAGCAGCTGAAACAGTATTGAAAAAATATTTAAATTTTAGTTACATTTAAGTATGCATATTATTATATATAAATATGATAACTTACAGAATTCATTGAACATAAAATCATCTTGATATTCCTTGAGAAATTGCGTAGATCTATTTTCATCAAGAAATAAAGAATAGACACGTTTCACATCATCAATACCGACCTATCATTTAAAACATTACAATAACATCGTTACAATAATATCGAATATATTCATGCAATAAATTGTATCTTACTTCTGTAGTTTTTCTTCGACGGCTTACAAGAGAAGCCGTCGTAATTAATTGTATTGCATATCTCAGCGATGTTTCTGAAGCGATTCTAGTTAACACGGTCAGAGCATCGTCGGTCATTTCGCAATCTTCCTCTTCGCATCTTATTTTCAAGATTTCCTTCAACTCCTTCTCTTGATATGGACTCGTTGGAACAATAATCGCACGATCCAACAAGTCAATCGGAATGCCATGAGGGCTCTTATAATTGGTTCCTCTAATTCTTGTGATACCTACATAATTATAAATTATTAAATAACAACGATTTAATATTAATATAGTTGATTATTCGCGCATACCTCTATTTGTTGCCATAATTACAACTGGAGCCATTTCATTTTCTAATGCTCGATTCAGAAATGAGAAACATTCGATATCTAACATATGTACTTCATCGATAAAAAGTACACCCGGAACTATTTCTGCCTTCCCTTCTTCCCTCCATTCTGCAACTTTAGCATTTATTTGATCTCGCACTTCAGATTTTATCTCTCCGGTATCTCCAGAGAATAGTGCTAAAAAGCCATGAGTTCTACTGTTTATCACATCAACTTCATGTAATGTCACAGTGTGCACGACTTCTTTGCGTTTCTGTAATTCGCCTTCTGGACATTGTACAAAACGCGTTTGCGAACCTGTCGCATCATAATCTCGAGCTCTAGTAAAGGATCGTCCAAGTCTATTGATCTTCCCTGTGGCTTTGTCAATCGTTATAACATCACCAGCTTGTACCTGAAGATAAATAAAAAGTTGTAATACAAACGAGATATAATCTATTTAATAGACATATATACTAACTTTTTCTTTCATTAAGCAATCAATCATTTTATTTCCTAAATCATAAATTGTTTCCATCTCAGTTGTTTTTAATGTCAATTTGCCAACTTTTACTCCAATTCCAGTTGCTGGTCTATCAACTTGAATCTCTACTACTTCACCCTCTATGATTTCTGTCTCCTCCTTAATTCTGACTCCAATAGACTTTCTAATAGCTTGAGTTAGAGCCTCTGTTTTACTCATCTCTAAAGAATAAATTTCAGAACCAGCCATTGATGTGAAAGGAGTATCTAGGCCCAAAGCTTGTGCCATTCCCATAGCAATAGCTGTTTTTCCTGTGCCAGGTTGTCCAGCCAATAAAATTGCACGACCTGCTATTTTACTTTCTTTAATCATCTCTAGGATAACGCCAGCAGCTCGGCGTGCCATGAGCTGTCCAACCATGCCTTGAGAAACCTAATACAGTAACAACAAATGTTAATTTTTATTAGATTGTAAACATATCAAATCTTTACAAAAAAAAGTAGAATATTCACATTGCGGGGTTCTAAACTGTCATTCAGTCCTAAACCTCTGATATGAGAATGAGCACCAATACGCTCTATCCTGGTGACCTCACGTACTTCTTGCACGTTAGTATTAATCTGAAACAAAAAATAAATGGATGCATGAAACTTTAATATTTATGATTCAAGTAATTGCAATAAAATGGATCAAACATTTGGTTGCTATGCCAATCAATAAGGCATAAAATAATTAGTAAATTTTTAGTATTGCTTTTCTTTGTAAAAGCAATATAATCCTTTTATACAAAAATAATACAAACAATATATATATATATATACATATACAGTACAAAGTACAATAAAACTAAATATATATAAAGAAATACAGATCAGCGTAGATATAGTTAATCAGCGTAGATAGAGTTCTTGATGTAATAAAACTTCAATAAAATTATAGGAAACAATAAATTTTTTTTTCTCTAGACAAATATATTTATGGCAGATACATAATTAAATAATAAATCTTACCGCCATGCCTAATAATAATACTACTTCTTTCTCTCAAATCACGCGAAACGTGTGGAAACGTGCAGGCAGAAACACACACTCAAAAACGTGCCAATGCCGTTATTGTATCTTGTTTATGGTAGTGTGGCAAATGTATGTAGTACACTGATATGTATGACTGAAATGTTTGGAGTATTCATACGAAAGTCGAGTAGGACAAATGTGACAACCAATGACAAGGCAAATCCATGAGGAGCTGCGCACAGGGAACAAGGAACAGGGAATAAAAATTTCACCTATTAGAAATCATGTATTGTGAAATACACAGTTTTTGATAGGTTGAAATTTTTCTCTGTTTCTTCATTGTATGTAGCCCTTCTAAGTCGGCGCGATCGCCATTGGCTGCAAACATGGCGTAAAAGTACCTTTTCATTTTAGATTTGTCGCGTCGCATGCTCCAACATGCTCCAACATGCTCCAACATGGCAAAATCCTCCTGCTGTAGTTCCTTATTCACTCTAATGAGCGCATTGAAATGAGTAGGAGCTATGATAGAAGCATATTGGAGCATGTTGAAGCGATGCGAACAAACCTGCTGATGCTCGACGCTCATTTTCGGCGTTAAAATGAGTTACATGATAGAAATTGACGAATGTCAAACGTCAATTTTGATTACGTGACTTATAACGTTTTCAGCCCAACCGGGTTAGACCAACTAAGTACACCTTGGTTAGAAAATGCTTAACTATTGGTCGACATTACACGCTCTACCAATAGGAGAGCAAGAAACATCATTACTTCAACCCAGATTAGTGCAAACTCGATCGGGTCGAAAATGCTATTTTTAACGTTGAAAAGGCATTTTAACGCTGCAAATACTTTGTTAATCAATCAGAAGAACGAATTTTACAAATTGACCAATCAGAGAATACATCAAAGTATTTGCAGCGTGAAGTGAATTGCACTCGAAATTGTAGCCTACCAGCGCGAGTTCTGATTGGCTGCTGCTTTTCCGTTTTCTGTTTTTTTATGAACATGCTCTTATACATTATCAACAATCTCAACACTAGCAGTGAATTTTGGAGCACAGTTAATAGTGTTAATAGCAACCAAAAATTTGTAATTTTTTTTATAACCATAAAGGCGGAAGTCATGCCGGCGGAAGTGGCGGCCACAACCGACTGCCAAAGCGGATGTCATCGCCCAAGAAAGAGTAATGGCGTCCGCGACGAGAGCACGACATTCTCGCGGTTCGTCTGTTATGTCGCGAATTGGATATTGAAACGACTGACTCGGTTTTAACTTTCATCGTTTTCATCGAGAACTTTTTCTCTATAGTTCAGGATCGATCGTGTCTATCCATAAACGAAGCCTGAGAGCTTCTCAATACAAGGCGCTTTGTGAAAGCGTGGCGGCTGAACTGGTGGTTGTGTACGTGCAGAAGCACGTCGTCAACGGAGAGAACGTGAATCTGAGTTTCGAAATGTTCATCAATTCAACGCGGTAATTCCGATTGTCAACTTTAACCGACCAATCATGAACTGAGAATTTTCGGAATCACACGTTTCACTATCGTATGTGTGTACTACATCGTCGTACTCATCCTGTGTGCTACATGGAGTAACGTGACGTGTACATATCATTTTTGTCTCTCCTTGAATATGTTTTCCTCGAGTTAATTGATTTTTTATTTGTAATTATAATTGAACAAACGAATTTTTATATATTTATATATATAATTAATATGAATCTAATTTTTATAATTGAGTCAATATGCAACTCATTAGAAAAGATTGCTGATTATAATAGATTTCTCTTTAAAGCATCTTTTTCTGCAAAAATTATATATTATAAATAAAAATTAAGCTAAATTGAAATACTTTAATAAACAATAAAAATAATTAATGAAGAATGCAATATATGTACAATTATATTAATATTGTTATTTTAATTTTATTTTATTTAGACACTTATAATTTGTATAAAATCAATTATTAAAAAATTTAATTGTTTTGTCAACTACATGATTTTATTTATCATGCTTAAAAGAAAAATATAAGAATCTTTAAACAATATTTAATTACAAATAAATA